CTACCCGTCATTGAATACTTCAATGCAATGAATGGATTGAGTTAGATTACTTTCAATATTTCAATATAAAATGTAGTGATGATGTTAAAATAATATGTAGGAAGATAATTTTTTTGCATTTCTTGCCCGTCTCTACGTGGAACATGATCAAGTTTGGGCAAGACGGTAACACAGTTTCTTTAAGGCATTTTTTATGCGCCTTAATTTGAGATGTATTTCTATGCATCCATCTTTTAAATTCTCAGACATATGTTGTCTTCCTTGTTAAAAAATCTTAACATACTTGTGAAATTGCTAAAATATCACAGCGCATTCTTTGTGGGAATCTTCATCATCTACTACTTTCCTGTTAATATGTTATGACATTTGAGGTTTCTTAAACATCCCTAATATTTCTACAACTATGGCTTTTAGGACATTTAATGATGTTTGTACTTGGAGGACATGTTTATATCTTATCAAACAAAAATATGTATATTATCTTGATTTTTATCGCTATAATAAAAATTAATTTGGTGTTACATTAAAGAATTCATGCATAGTACATGATTTTGATTAAATTTTATCATATTTTTTCAATATTGAGGGCATTATTTAACAATCCCTATGTCCTGATGCCCCACAACAACTTGGTATTGTTAAAAGGAAAATTGACTAGTTTACCACGACTCTTCTCTCAAGAGATATTGGGGGAGGTACTACATATTATCTCAAGATATTTGATAGATAGTATGCCCTCTAAAGTGATTGTTATAAAAAATTCTCTTTACCTCACAAATTTTTTTGTAAGCATAGTTTTTTTGCAAAAAATCCTTTTAAAGTATTTGAATGTTTTATATATACATTCATAAAGAACAATTTGAAAAATTATAACAGTTGACTGTTTTTTCATAGGATAATCTTACACTCAAAAGAGTATAAATATTGTCTTCAAACTAATAAAAAATATCAATTTATATCATATTTAGTAAAAAGGTTATCCCAGTTTAATCGTACTTATCTTTAATGGCAGAACAATGCTATGGAAGATAAGGCTGACGAACTTAGTATTTTTTTCTCTTGACTATTATGCGTATTAGTACACGTGGAAGACTAATTTTATCCCACTAAGATTAACATTTTGATTATTAAACAACTCTAGTTTCATACAAGGACACAGCCTATCCAAGCTCTCTTGAAATTTCAAATATTGGAACCAATTCCAGTGGCCTTCCTACTTCACTTGAAGCTGGTCTTAATATATTGCTTTTTGAAACGATGCAGAACATTCTCTATGTCCTATAACTCAATACATGTTCTTTGAAAACTTCTCTCCAACATGTAAAACTTTTCTTGCAAATATTATTACTATCAAAATTCTTTTCAGACATCAGTAATGAATTGTGAGAAAGTTTTGGGAGAAGAGATGAATGCTCATGAAAATAACAACACTTGGAATATAGTTGAGTTGCTAAAAGGAAAAAATAGATTTTAGTATGCAAATGAATTTTTACTTTAAGATCTAAAGCTAGTGGGAGCTTATATATATATATATATAAAACTAAATCAGTAGCAAAAGATTATGCCCAATTTTATTGAATAGACTACTTTGAAAGATTTGCTCCTTTTACAAAAGTGAATATGTTTCACATTCTTATCTTTCTAATTGTTAAGTTCATATGGCTCAATATGATGTAAAGAATGTTTTTTACAATGTGTGGCAGACAGGTATGCAAATTTAAAAAGAAACTATTTGGGCTAAATCAATCTCCTAGGGCATGTTTTGGAAACTTCACAAAAGTCCTGAGTGAGATGAGATATAGGCAATCTATGGAGACTCTACACTCTTTATTGAACACTTAATTGAAGGGAAAGTTGCAATTCTTGTCGTTATGCTGTTGATGTAATTATTACATGTGATGATGAATTAATTACTTATGAAAATTTTTATTGTTGAATTTGAGATAAATAACTCAACAAATTTAAATACTTTCTAGACATAGAGGTGCTTAGTCAGAAAAAAGGTTATTTATTTCACCATAGAAATATATCATGGATCTATTAAGAGAAATAAATATAAAAAAAAATATCGAAGATTATTTAAAAGTTAATATATCTTATACATATCTAGTTGTTGCTTTTGTGATGAGCCTCATAAATCAATTCTTAGATAAGCCAAAGGAATCTCACCTTTAGTTTACCTATAGATTCTTCAGGTATTTAAAATCTAAACTTGAAAACTGAATTCCTTATAGATGGCATGAAACTGTAAAGCTAGAACGTTATGCTGATACTGACTGATAGATAGACGATCAACGTTAGGTTATTGAACATGTATTGTAGAAAACCTTGGATTATGGATTAGTAAAAAACCAAACCCGGGTCTCAAGATCAATTGCAAAATTAGAGCTTAGCGCTATTTTTCAAGGTACTTGCAAAATTTTATGGTTATAAGTTGTGCTAGGAGATCTACAGATTAAATGAGAAGGATGTATAATGTTATGATGTGATAACGAGTTTGCATGGTATTGCCTGCACTCGCAGTATGATATGATTGAATCAAATATGTGGAGGTGGACTAACATTCTATGCTTGAAAAAATAGAGTGGGTTCATTTGTAATCTTTATATTCTACTAGGCAATCAACCTTTCGGGATATTCACCAAAGGCCTAGCAGCCATCCATTTAAAATATTTTGAGCAAATTTCAAATCGTAGATCTCTGCCAATGAGTATGAGGGAGAGTGTTGAATAATGTCTGTTACTGCGATGAAAACACTAGAAATAATTGTGGGTGAAAGTTACGGGTAATTGCGAGATGGAGATGGAATGCATAAAGCTATGATTGATGGTTTAACTAGCTGTAGTTGGAGGGCGGCAAATAGGAAGGAGGCGGCCCACAAATCCCTAACAGCGGATAGTCATGAAATTCTGGAGCACGAATTCATTGAGCTCTAGGATATTTTTTTTTTAATTTGTAATTATCTCTCTTTCTAAAGATGTATGAGTGAGTATTTGCCATTCTCCTATTTTCTAAAATTTTATTATATTGTTCTATTTTTTTTTTATTATATTGTTCTATTTTTTTTTAAACACATAGGTTTAGCTGTTACATTATGAAAATCTAAGTAACCTTGTACAGTATTCTTCATTAATCATCTGAATTCCAATCCCCAAATAGCTGAATAAAGTTTTTTCATTTTTTTAAGCTTTTGTTACAGTTTTAAAGTTTGCTTTCACTGTGTAGTTTATCTCTGCTGCACTTTTGTAGGCAGTCAGGCGCATGAAATCCTCCCCTTTGACAGAAGATGAGAAGGCAGTCATCTATGAGGTGGAATTAATTCCATCAGTATGCTCTTGGTAAATTTTTAGTGCTTTTTATTCCCCACTAATCATTATTTTTCTATCAAAACCAGGGATTAAGAATCTTCAAGCATGATTGGCTATCTGTTTGGAAATATTTTGTCCCCCATAGAGACCCCTCAATGCTACCACGACAATGGAGAATTGCTACCGGAACCCAGAAATCATATAAAAAAAATGAGGCAGTTAAAGAGAGAAGGCGTCTATATGAGGCTAAAAGAAGAAGATTGAAAGCATGTATGACGGAGCAAGAAACTTCAGAAAAGGAGGTTTGTTCGGATATTATTCATCCAATGAGTATTCTAAGAATCTTATTTGTTTCTTACAGCTTCAACATTTTTATGGATGTGTCACCCAGGTAAACTATGGAGATAACAGTGAGGGTGACATGGATTGTGAAGATGAAGCTTATGTTCATGAAGCTTTTCTAGCAGACATGGAGGCTGGAAAGTCTAAAAACATGGCTCCCCATGGCCAACGTTCATGCATTAGCAGTAGTAATGGTGTAAACTGTACCTCTATCACAAATGATTCTGGTGAATCAATACTGGAAACTGGAACTGAAAATATGATTTTGAATTCTTCAAAATCACCAAAAGACATTCATTGTTTACATCAATTTTCCCAAATAGGATATGGCGCATCTTACAGCATTTCTTCGAGGCATCTTTCTTCGTGTCTCATCTCAGGAACCTCACGAAGTCATTTATTGACGCAATCCTATCGAGCTCGGAAGAGAAAAGGACTCCGGATAGTAAAACTCGCTCCGGATTTGCCTCCCGTGAACCTTCCCCCGTCCGTTCGTGTGATATCTCAATCGGCTTTCAAAGTATATCACGGCGAGCCACGACATTCTATTGTTAATGATAATCCATTGAAGGATCATGCTCTTAGGGTTTCTCATGTAGCAGAAGCAGGAGTTAGCGTGCTGAATCTTATAGAAAATACATGCAAGCTTTCAGATAATCATCACTTGAAAGATAATGCTTCTGAATCTGATGTCCAGTTGCATCCATTACTGTTTCAGAACCCTTCTCGTTTCTTGTTTAATTGTCAGAACGCCGCTCCGAGTTCGTGCAACTTGCTTGTCGGTTCCCAATGTTCGATCGGTATGGTTAGCACTGCAGATCCTGGCAATTCAAGGCGAGGATCAGCTTTTCCAACTGTTTCAAGTACTGATTTCCATCCACTTCTGCAAAGATTTGAGAATAATAGTGATGGGGTGTCTGCAGATTTAATAGTAAATGGTGCACCATCTGAATGTCAAGGTGACGGAATAACTAAGCTTGACTTGAATATTCACTTATCTTCTACAATGGACATGGAAAGGACCGCCAAAGTAGGCGATAATCAGAATGTTGAGCTAAGTGCATCCACATCGGAAGAAAGAATAGTTGAGAAAGTCAGGCGAGCAAATTTAAAACCTTTTGACTTTACAGACGAAGAACTCAAGGATTCGAGGGAAGCCAATTTATTGATTCAATCGACTTCATTCTATTCGAAAGATGGATTTGGAGAGAGTCATGATATTTCATGCCACCATTGCGCAGAAGACTTTCATGAAGAGTCTAATCCAGGAATAGTAATGGAGCAAGAAGAACTGAGTGATTCCGACGATGAAAGCGCAAATGTGGTGTTTGAATGTGAAGATTTAGAGGACTCAGAAGAGGAAGAAGAATTATGTGGCGACGCACCTATGCAAATTCAAAATAAGGTACTATCTCAGCTTCTTTTTGTTTGAATTTTCTAGAATTTTTTATTCAGGTTCTAAGAAATTATTGAAAGTCTTCAATTTCGCCCATAAATGCTTCATTTTTAAAGATTGTTTGTAGTGGCTAGTAATAGGAATTATTTTCTTAATGAGATGAGCAACTTTTGAATTATTTTGTGTTCTGCTGAGAGAAATTGTTTTTACCTGAAATAAGAACTAGTCGAAAACCTGCTAACACTTTCTTGGGGGAGATTTTGTTCAAAATGATATTATAGAGACAAGTTAAAATGAAAATTATAATAGCTGCACTCCGGGCTTTTAGTATAAACTTTATTTTTTTACATTATAACACCCAAATCTTTTGCGAACAGACGAGCATTGCGAATTACATCTATTGAAGTATTCAATTTTTGCCTGCATGCCACTTTTTTTCTAAATGCAGCTCCATTGCTGTTCAATTTTTAGTAGGCCAATTATCTCTTTTCATGCATAGATAAAGTGGCATGTAGGTAAAAATTGAAGTTTTAGGTGTTAGATATGTGAATACATAGGGAAATTGAGTGTAAAGTATTTAAATTTTCGTAATTTTTAATGATCTTTCACGAGGATGGTATTTCTGTTAAGCTTATGTTTAAAGTACCAAAGTTCTATGTATGTAAATATACAAGTTTTGGTGTGAAATACGTAAATACAAAAAATGGTATGCTAATTATATAAATTTCCCAATTTTCTATTTTTGGTGTGTTGTAAAAGAACATAACACGTCTGTTTGGAGAAACCCTGATTTTAACTCAAATCACTTCATTACCAGGCTCAAAATCTTCATCAACTGCCCCCATCAAACTCAGCATTGCATGCTTCTGTTAAGAGAGGAAAAGCCTGTAAAGGAACTGTTTATGCTTCTCGTGGCTTCCATCATCCAAAGCTAACAATGTCAAATAATGAAAACTGTTGTACAAAAGGTGACAGGTCCTGTAGAAGTTCTCAAATTTCAATTTCACCCTCTCCTGCCTGTTCTAAGAAGAGAGGAGACGGAGAAAACTCGATATTGCAGGATTTAACCGTCGGGACAGCTGAGAACAAGACTGCTAGTACCAGAAGATCAAAATGCCGTTCTCCTTTGGACTAATCTCCCATAGGGTAAGTAACGTTCTGCACATTTGAAATAATGTCTCAAAATGCAAAATTGCACACTTTGCCACCTGTGGAAACTGAACCTGTAAAAATTCTTGGCCATTGTATAGTCTTTATCAGGCAACTGATTGCATGAACAAGGGATGATTTCGTTCCCTTATGATGGGATAGTTGTAGTTGTTTAGAGGTCAAATTAGGGAGTAATTTGTAAATATACTTGTGCTGGCCTTAATTATTGCATATAGCCGTAGGAATTTTACATTTTGTTTATTGACATTAGATACCTACATACCACTTATGTAGTTATATATTCACCTAAACTTCAACTTTTACATATTTGTCGATGAAAATGTATATTTCGCTTTTTTTTTTTTTTTTTTAAGAAAAATTTTTTACGCTAAAAAAATAAAAAAAAGAAAAATTATTATTAAAATCATTAATATTATTAATTAAATTTAATTAATATTAAGTCACTCGTTCGCGCCTAAGTGCTAAAATGCACAGCACCGCTGTCCTCTTCCCCCGTCGATCTTCCCCTGCATGTGCACGTCTACTCCGTCCTTCGCCAATTTCGCA